AGACGCAGAACCAGTACGGCACGTTTGGGTTCCAGGGGGATGCGGTGACCTGGAGTGTGAGTGATATTGCGCGGCCGAATGTGGTGGCTTGGTATGTTTGTGGAGACCAAGGACAGTTGTATATCAATACGGGGGCCTATGGGTATCAGACGCCGGAGGGGTGTTATGATGAGACGGTAGGTTTGTGATGTGGTGGTGGTGGTGGTGGTGAGGGATGTATCCTGATGATGCTATGCAGATTCATTCGTATGGGGGGTCGACCCCGACGGTTTGATGTGGAGGTTTCATGGGATTATCATGCGCGTTGTCTGATGTTCATCGTTGCGCTGGATAAGGACTATAACTATGAGCACTGCATTGAGAATTGAGAGCTAGCTACAAATATCTTTCCATGTATAACTAATCATGGCCGCCAACTGGCTTAGGAACGTATGGCTCCTCCAAGTGTCTCTCCTCATCAGCCGTCAAGCTTTTATCTTTGGCTTGTATCATCTCGTCCATTCGCTCAACAGAGCTGAAGCCCACAATCGGACTGGCGACACGCTTGTTGACCCAAGCCAAAGCCACCTGACCCATTGTCCAGCCCTTCTGCTTTGCCAACTCCTCCACTCTGGAGATAATCACCTCATCTGCCTCGGTCACTGCGTTCCGGTCGGTGTTCTCCGAGCGAGTAGTTCCCCGAACTTGCGAGAGCGGACGAGCAAGTTTACCACCGTCGAGAGGACCCCACTGTTGAGATATCTCGTGAGTCAAACACTTCATCAGAGTAAGTCATCAGGAACTTACAGGAATGAGACCAACGCCTGTCTCATTGCAGAAGCGATTCATCTCCCGCTCCTCCTCGCGGTAGAGAAGACTGTACTGATTCTGCATGGAGACGAACTTTGTCCACCCATGCTTCTCTGCGCAATGCTGCATCATAATGAAATGATACGTCCGCATCGAGCTAGCGCCGATGTACCGCACCTTCCCGCCTCGGATGAGATCATTAAGAGCTTCCATGGTCTCTTCGATGGGGGTGAAGGGGTCGAAGCGATGGATCTGAAAGAGATCGATGTAGTCCGTACCCAGGCGCTTCAGCGAGGCGTTGACTGCGTTGAAGATCGCTTGGCGGGAAAGGCCTGGAGGGTCAGTATACCATGTGATCAACGGAATCGAGATTACATACCAAATTGATTGACGTATTCCTTGTCCTGGCGCATATCGTCCGCGAACGGGACAACATACTTGTTGTCGTGTTCACTGACGGGTGACCAGCATTTCGTAAGGATGAGGAGTTTATGCCGAGGAAGATTGTAATGTTTGATGGCCTTGCCAATGATTTCTTCTGATTTGCCGTTGGAATAGTTGTTTGCGGTGTCCCACTGTTTCAACTTAGTCACTGCTCGTCACGTCGACAAGAGAGATACTAACGGTGGTAAGACCTCGGTCGTAGGCAGCTTTCAGCAAGTGCAGAGCCTGATATGTCTCAGTCTATTTCACGATTAACTTGCTTGTCCGGACTCACCTTCTCCTCGTCAAGAATCCACGATCCCCATTCCGGAGAGCCGATGCTCATGCCACCGAGAATGGGCACGGAAACGCGTAGACCACTCTTCCCAAGTTGACGATAGGTGACTTTGGTCTGCTCCAGGGAAGCCTTTAGCAAGGGAGGAAGCTCAGCGGCCATTTTCAGGTCTTCTGCTTTGGTGTCTATATCTGCTTTCGTTGGAGCCCTCTTGAAGCAGTCGCAAGGGAAATCGAGTCTGAGTTGATGATCGATATTCCTCAAGGGCATTCATCGAGCTTGCTTTTATACTGCAACCCTCGATGTCCACATGTTGGAGTGCGTGATTTTCTGCTCCCATCTCTAGCGACCTCAATATGCTGATTTCTAAGCAGCGACAACAATAACAACACATAGGCCGAGTACTCGAAACTCTCGTATTGGGACTTTTGTCCGTGATATCATGAAGTTATCTCCGAGATCAAGATGTCATTGAAGTAAGCAAAAGACCAAATACGAGTTAATGCTTGGCTTTCTTCCCGTCAATCAAGTCATGACTCATATGGCGGGATCTCGGGCCGAGTAGCGAGCGCTTGATGTTCAGGAAGTGATGTATAGCAGATTAAGGCCATATGACACTGCTTTTGTGTTCTAGAGTCAATATATGGCCATTTCTAGATGGCACGATGCGGAAGCTGTGAACCAATCCAAGCTTCGCAGTCTCTCAGACTCAGAGAGCTACCTGGCGCAAAACATGGAATACGATAGCCCGCTGCTTGTGGTTGGAGGCTCGTCATGTGGCGCGGCTTTTCTTCGGATCAACTCAACATGGCATTCATCTCGTCTTGATACAGCTTGATACATACTTGGTGTACACTTCGACTGCCCTGTTGAATGCGAAAGACCACCAGAGTTTCTGAGTCTAGAACATCAGAAGTTTTCGCCATAGCTTCTTGTAAAGCCTTCTTTCAGAATAGCCATGCTCAGGTGAACCAGCCAAGATGACAAGAGACGAAAAGAGGAACTTGTGACAACCAAATTCAATGGAGGGAATGGTAGACAGCTTCTTGCCTGAGGCATCAAAATTACGGCCGAATGCCCAATCATGTCGTTGTATAATCATCAACCAATCAACGCGGATCTGGTAGTTATAAATCACATGACCTAACACGGTCTAACCTAATCTAGCAATGTCCTTATCTGAAACTTGTGATAAAAAATTTCAGAAACGTGATCAACGCCTTTCACCATCAACTCCACCAACAGACATCAAGATGGGTAAAGCCGCGCGAGGCAAGCGCAATGCGCCCTCCAGCTCTCCGTATCAAAAGCCCGGTGGTGCGCCACTCTCCAAAGCAGCCTCTGCGATATTCAAGTTCAATACGGACATCGGCCAGCACATTCTGAAAAACCCAACAATCGCCGATGCCATTGTTGACAAGGCCAACGTTCAGCCGAGCCAGACGGTACTCGAAGTTGGTCCGGGTACGGGTATCCTGACGACACGAATTCTCGAGAAAGCGAAAAAGGTCGTTGCCGTCGAACTGGATCCCCGAATGGCAGCGGAGGTTACAAAGACAGTTCAGGGCACGCCTGCGGAGAAGAAACTCCAGGTTATTTTGGGCGATTTCGTCAAGACGGATCTCTCCAAGCTGCCTCCCTTCCAGATTTGCATCAGTAACACTCCTTATCAGGTATATTCACACATGGTGCGGTGTTGTGGTAAACGCTAAAGAGTCCGTCACAGATCTCCTCCCCCCTCATCTTCAAGCTCCTCTCCATGCCTAATCCCCCAAAGACGTGCATTCTCATGGTTCAGCGAGAATTTGCCCTTCGGTTGATCGCCCGCCCCGGAGATTCGTTATATTCCCGATTATCAGTCAACGCACAGTTCTTCTCTCGAATCTCGCACGTTATGAAAGTCGGCAAGAATAACTTCCGACCCCCTCCCCAAGTCGAGTCTAGTGTGGTCAGAATTGAGCCCAAGGCTGACCGGCCGAACATCAGCTGGGATGAATGGGACGGTATGCTTCGCATCTGCTTCGTACGAAAGAACAAGACCCTGCGCGCGGGTTTCATGGCCACGAAAGTGCGTGCGCTGATTGAGCGCAACTGGATCACCTGGGTTTCCATGCATCCAGAGAAGGTTACCCAAGCAGACATTGATTTCCTCCAGGGCAAGGATGTCTCTGCTCTGCAAGGTGCTGATGAGGATATGGATATGGGCCAGGATGACGACGAGCCGGTCGAAGGGGGTGACGACGAGGATGATATCTTCATGGACTTGGGAGGAGAAAACGATGCTCAAGTTACTACCAGCAAGGGCTCACTCGTAGCTATCGGCGACCAACAGGTCCCTCGGGCCATGGTGACGAAACTGGTTCAAGTCAAGATCCAACGAGTCTTGGACCAGGCCAATTTGGCGAACGCTCGTGCTCAGAAGTGCGATGAGAATAACTTCCTCCGCCTTCTCCATGGATTCAATACTGAAGGTATTCACTTTTCTTGAGTGAAGGGTGTTTCCCAAGTTTATTGCAATCTTTTCCGAGCCCGTCGCAGCCTCATGGACTCCAGTGCCGGAGTGATCGAACTTCTCGCGCCATTATGCTCATATCCTCGTTTGATACCCACTTGACACTCCTCGGCTCAACATCACGATATCGTCAGGTCACTGACGGTCGACATACTGCACTCTCGGTAGTGTGCATTTTTATCAAGAATCAGGGCGCGAGTGGGGCATGCCTCTTATGCTATACCCATGGGCACTTGAGCTTGATGATGTTACTTTTCTGGTTCTATAATTCCTAGACTACGGAGACATCTTCATCATCAGTAACGAAGCCATGACATTTATTCAGTCTTATGCTACCAATCTTTTTTTGGTTCTTCGATCTATACCCTGCTATAGGAGCTCTGGTGTCTTAGAAAGGTGGCAGACAAATAGGGCCTGAAGGAAGAGGAATAGACGCTAAACTCGAAAAGGGAATGACGTGGATCGACTGATTATTAAGCGATTATTAGTTTTCTCCACTGTTAGTATTATTTGTTATGATACGAGGGAATTGACAATCACTCCTATTAATCTCATACCAGCCATACAACTTCGGTCAGCGCGGTCCCTTCTAATCGGCCAAAGCCCCTTGTGATAGTCTGTTTCGGTTTGAGGAAATTGTGAAGCTATTCGTAACCTATCTCAGGGCCACTGAGATTTTCGAAATATCTCGCTACACTGTCGACCTCATGTCCGCAACCAAGGTGCCGATCATGCTAGATAAGCCAGATGATTGGTGGGCATGGAGCGCGTATATCAAGGGTCTCGCTAAGCGCAGAGGCGTCTGGAAATACATTGATCCAGATGATGAGACAATAACCATAGAGGAACCCGTGGAGCCGACCATGCCTCTCCCAGCGAAGCCGTTTGACCAGATGGATTCAAATGATCGATTCGTTTGGCAGCAAGAATCCAAGCTGTATGACTGGTCGTACAGGATATATGAACGAGACAGAAGCGCCCATGACGGCTATCTGGACGGCCATCCAGACGAGTGTCAGCCAGAACCACCGTTATATCTTGAACCTGGATATCTCGGAGAGGCAGAGGATGATCAAACTGCGAGATAAGCTTAAACCGGATGACCTATCCCACATGGTAAAGCTTAGGGACCGATTCGCGAAGCTAGGCGAGAAGAAGCGCAATCAGAGCATGGAGGAATGGCTCAGCGAATGGGAAAACGTAATTCATGAGTGTGAGGATGCTGAACTGGTCGGATATTCTGGGTACCAGGCTAGCCTCAAGTTTATCAACGCGATTGACTCGCTTCTACCAGTCTACGCGAAGTTTAGGCATGCGAGTCTCAAGCTCAATAGCGCAAGCATCTTGGAAGAGATAAGCGCCTTCCGACAACGATGGGAGTCTGCATCAGACGAAGAGAAGCAATCCAGCTTTCCAACCTTTCAAGGTCAATCCGACCAATCAAATTGTTCAAATCAGCGCAAGTGCATCTGCGGCAAATTCCATCCCTTCATTGACTGCCCATATATCATACCGAGTAAGCGTCCAGCCGGTTGGAAGGCAGATCCAAAAATGGAGGCAAAGTTCGAGAAGGTTAAGAAGACGAGAGAAAACGTGAAGGCGGCTATCGAAAGAGCCGTTGAGCGAGCCAATCAGGAGGCTAGAGCAAATCTGACATTCCTCTGATCAATCAAACCCTCAAGATCTACGGCCGTGATAAAGGAAGGTATTGAATACGAATTGGGACGGAAGGTCTGATTCTTCCAATCTACCATTGTACGTTAGTATATGTAGTAAGGAAATATGATTTCCAATGGAGCTGTAGGGATCTCTGCCAATGGACGGCAAATAAGTGGCTAAACCATGATACAGTGGCTTGCACAATTACCCTGCCCATCCTGGCTCGCAGATATTCTTATGCAACTTCCGATCACATTTCATGAGGCTGACTAGTGCTGACCCTCATACACAACTCTACGTGACAGCTCACTTTACCCCGCTCGCCAGAGAAGCATGGACCAAAGCCGCCCTAGGGTGGGCGCGATTCTAATGCAAGGTGATAGGGGAGACCCTGCACAGCAGTTGGCCAATGATTTTGCGCGGGAAGCGCAGGGGAAGGAAATTAGCAATGGCACGTTAGCTATCGCCTCTTGGAGCTCGTTCCTGTCTCATTTCTATACAAAACCTAGAAACAGTTCATTCTTTCTTCTACTTTGGTTGAGACCCCAAAAATTTCCCAAACATATCCAACTTCGAATTCTGAGGTTCGTATTATCTAACCCGCTTGATAGAATTATTCTTACACAGTAGATGGAAGTGGCTGAACTATACAATGTGCGAAAACCTTATACGAACCTACCGTGGGGAGCCTTGTCGTTCCCAACAACACACTCATGTTTATGCTATCCAAAGATGCACCACATCTCAGGGTTGCCCTGACCAAGCCTACTGCGTAGGCCCAGATGGCACCAAGCGCTCCCTCCAACCTCGTATCGACGTGCAGGATAGAAATTGGCCGGGGAAATGCCCCAACTGTCAGCTCCCGTCTCCACCGAGCTCCGTTGGTTCTGACGACATTATCGTCTAAGCCCTGGGCTACCCTATAGCAGGGTCTTGGGTACTTCTCCAGTACTACTCTCGTTTGTAGTTAGTCTACTATTAAAACAGATTTTCCCTTCTTGATAATTCAGTATGTCGGTGACTCGGTGTAACTTGTAGAAGCATCAATTATGTGCCTGCGTTCCCGCTAGTCTTAAAAAGGAATTCTTGGCAAACAGGGAGGGCGATGGAATATCAACTTGAAGCGGTCAGCCCTGCACCTATTTAATAAACTAGGAACGACCCCTGGGGTAATCTTCGCCCAAACCTGAGGATGGATTCACCAAAACGCGTTGTTTTAAGGCTCCGCTCGAGAGAGTTTGACAATGGTTCACCACAGGAAATAATCAGAATCTCTCAGCACTTCCTCTCGTCTTCTGGTTACGATAAAACTTCCCAAGACAATCACTATGTTCATGTGGAGCCACCCCAGCTCGAACCTCGCCGGCATTTCCATATTACCATTGATATCAACTACCGAAACAACGATCCCAACATGCAAACTTTGCCCTTTGAGTTCTTCAGGGTTAACCAAAAGCTGTGAGGACCTCCTCTGCAATATCCTCTATCAGAAATCTAACTAGTCGTAGTGAATTTAAGCCTCTGGAGCTCGGACCATTGGAGACACAATATCGCGAACTTGTAAACGGGTTTTACCCATGGGGAAGAGACGGACAATAGGATAATGGTGAAGTTAAAGAAATAATTGCTGTATGTAAACTGCTGCAGTGGTGAAGCCTAACCATCAGCTGTTCTGTCCCTGTTTGAAGCGTCGTGTAAATAGGAGTAGGTCAGATAACTATACGAAAAGTATACGTCTTACATTAGCCATCATTCAGCAGATATCCGTCGTCGTTGGAATAAGACCCACAGGCTGCAGCGCGGAAATAAAAGGGAAAAGCCGGAGCCTAAAATGTCTGACAATTTGCAGCTATAGACCCACGACACCGTACTGTATAGTACATCTACACAACCTCTCAGCTAGACTTCATCAATAGTGACGCCTGCATGCCGAAAGTGACCCTTGGCACTTTTTTCTTGAGCACCCACAATGCCCACACACCGTTCTAGGAAATTATCAAAGCCTTGACTCGGCTGTTGCTCGTAGATTCTCCAGTTTCGCTTAATAAAGCCTTTCAGCTCTGCAAAGAATTCTTCAATCGGATTCAAATCCGGTGAATACGGTGGTAAATACACCAGTTTGACTCCTTTCTCTGAGCACAACTGCTGTATCCACTCAGAGTGATGGAAGGAAGCATTGTCCATCACAAGAACGGATTTTTCCGCTGGGTATTAAAGGTGGGCAGGGTAATTATGCAAGCCACTGTAGCAATCAGCATTCTAAGCGGTCGAATCAGAATTCCTGAGGATCAGTCTGACAACTCCCTTTCCGCCACCAGTTAGTTAGCCTGACATAAAAGTCTCATAATCGTGATCACAGCCTCTCTTTAAGCTCTCCCACAGATACTCCGCTCGTGGTATTTTCTCTAGTTCTCTCTACAACACTGATCTTACAGAGCCTACTGCTAACTGTGGCCATACTCAGTATGGCGGAGATCTAATCACATGATCTTGCTCAGTAGATAGCTCCTTCCACTATATAATAGTAAATATAGATTTATATATATAATAAATTAATAAAATATCTTTATATTCTAAACCTCTCTCTACTTATTCTATAGGTTATAAGCCTAGAGCCTCTTAGAGAGCTCTAGGGAATTATTCCTAAGTTCTTTCCTTAAGCTATTTTACTACTTTTTACTTTTAAAAGCCTCTTTTAGTGAATATTCTACCTAAAATATTTATCTAGGCTAGATATTCTACCTAAGATAGAAACTATCCTTTTATTACCTTTATTAATAGGGCCCTGTAAAAGGTTCTTATATTTAAGAATCCTTATAGATATAGAAGCCTAGTAGTTACTCTTAGATATATCTAAAATCTTATTCCCTTAAGGGATATATTTAAAACCTTATCTCTTTTATTAAAATCTTCCTTTAAGATACCTTAAGTAGATCTCTATAAGTTATTATTACTTATAGATATAGATTTCTATTAAATATAGTCTAAAGTTATAAAAATATACCTATATAATTAAGATATTTAATAAATTATAAATAGAACTTATAAGAAGCTAGAGCTACTAGAAGTAGGCTATTAGACTAGATTATTAGATAAAGCTAAGCTTACTAAGTAGTAAAAGAGAATTAAAAAGGCTATTTAAGATTAGAAGAAGATAGATAATAAGGCTTATAGAGTTATATATTCTATTTTATTTTATACTATTAGATATAAAGTAATTAATATAGAATTATTTAAAGCTATTTAGGATTATCTTAATAATAAATATAATATAATAGTAGATATATAGTCCTTTAAGGGGCTATAGATAGCTATAAATATAATATATAATAGCTATAATAGAATCTAAGATTATATATTAAAACTATCTTAAATACTTAATAAATTTAATTATAGTTTTAAGAAAGGTAAGTAGCTTCCTAAATCTATTAAAATCTAATTCTTACTCTATAATCTTAGTAAGATATAGGAGATATTCTTTATATCTTATCTTAATAGTTACTATAATAAGAGAACTACTATATTTAATAGTATTATATAGATTCTTATTTAGGAGGAGATGCATATAAAGTTTAATATATTATCTATAAATATTATAAAAGTATAGAAAGAGAAGAAGCTAGCTTAGAAGGGTAGTAATTCTAAGGATAAATTAAATTAATTAAATTAATTAAATTAGTTTAATTCTAATTTAAATAATTAGAAAGATTCTAATAGCAAGGTTCCCTAAGAAATTAGAAAGAACTAGAAGTATTACTATTATAGTAAAATAGGCTATAAGAAGCCTAACTACTAGGAGTTAAATCTAGATAAGAAGCCTAATAAGAAGTCTTTATCTAATTAATCTAATAATTATAATTATACTTATGTAATAGGTATAGATAATAAGATACCTAATAACTAGTATTTAACTATCTTAATATTTAAAGAAATAATACTTACCTTCTATACTATTAATAATAATAATAATAGAGTCTTTACCTCTACTAATAATAATAATTTAATTAATAATAATAGTATCCTTACCTCTAAACTAAATAAATAAGATATTAAAGATATATAGATAGTAATTATTACTATTAATCTAGCTCTATGCCTGCATGCTAGTACTAATAACTAGATTATTAATTCTAGAGCTACTAAGCACTTTATTATAATATCTATAAACTTTATAGATAGCTTAAGGAAGCTATGTAAATAGGGAATTAAGATAGTAATAGAGTAAATTATATATTCTAATTTAATTAGGGATATTATCTTATATCTTATATATCTAGGTGGATATACTAGATATATTATTATTACTAATATTCTCTATATTCCTGAAGTAGTAGTTAACCTTCTAAGCACTATTTAATTAGGCTATAAGGGTCTAGGAGTTAATCTTCTACTAGATAGTATTATTATTACTTACTTATTAGATAAAATAATTATTAGATATAGAGATATTATCTAAAATACCTATATTCTTCATCTTATAGGAAGCAACACTACTATTAAGGCTAATAAGCTAGTTAAATTAACTAAGCTAGATATACTATTTAAGATATAGCTAATAGCATTCCCTTACTACCCTAAAAGAGATAATAACTAGCTATTCTCTTAGTAAGATTACTTACTATAAGAAGATTATAAGTGAGCTAAGTAAGAATTAGTAAAACCTTATTCTAATATTAAAACTTATATCTAGACTAGATAAGAGGTCCTAAGCAAGTAATATATACTTATTTTAGATCTATTATATAGTAATTATGCTGGTATTTACACATTAAAGAAAGATAAGGTTAATTTAATAATCTAGCACTACTATTTTATATATTTATCTATTCCTAATATCATCTATATATCCAAAATAGTTAATAGAATAGATATTAAGGGACTATTAATTCCTAAGCATGCCTATAAATCTTATATAGTAACTAATATAATAGTCTATAAGGGGTATATTACTATATCTCCTATTAAGTAATATAGGGAGTGTATCTTTATTAATATTAGTAGTAGCT